TGTGTGTGTGTGTGTGTGTCCACATCCCTTACAGGAAGCCTAGTCCATGCACAGCACAGGTGGAATTGGTCATGAATTTTACAGCTAAGAGGCTTTCCAAAGGCGGGGCTGTGAGATGCAAGAAGAAAACCTTGGGGGTGGGGAACAGATTTCTTTTGAAAAGCTCCTCCCTCCCTGTTGCGAGTGCCAGGTGAGTTAGGAAGTGGCCTCTCTATACTTACTACAGAGACAAGTATTCAGACTCAGAGGAAAGTCCTTTGACGAAGGCACAAATGGGGAGAGAAAGGAAGACATGTGGGCAAGTTGACAACACACCATGAGGAGACAGTGAACACACACAGCCAGTGAGAGCAGGGAGGGGCATCCACTTGGGGCTCTGGCCTCAAGCAGATGGGCTTTCCCCAGCAAGGCTGGACCTGTCTGCCAGGCAGTGATCGGCTTGGAGAGGAAGCTCAGGGTGGAGATGCTACCGGAATCACACAAGTGACCCATCACCTAGGAAGGGGATCCCAGCAGCCCAGCAGAGGCTGTTCTCTGGGTGGCATGGTGTCCTCTCTGACGGGGTTTCTCAGGGGACTCAGTGAGCAGCATGGAGGTGGAGAGGGACCACAGCAGCATTCCTGCCATGAATGCCTTACTCCTAGGGAGGTCCTAGTTCAAATTATTCCCTCACTTCTTCAAAGTGGCTGCCATCCACAGTCCCCCTAGACACAGAACTGTAACAAGGGCTTCCCTTGTATTTGGCATACAAGGCAACTGAGGCACAGAGTGGGTCTCTGAACTACTCAAATTAGCAGTTTGGTTGGGCCTGGAATTCTATTGTCTAAACTCGTGTCTCTCTAGTGACAGTTTTTAGCTGGTTCCCATTTTAGAGGGCCCCGGACAAATGCTGAGGGTGGGATCCAGGCCACAGACCCACCTCAGTTCACCAGGGGATCCCAGTGCTCAGTTAAGGCCGGGAACGACAACATCAGGTTATGCCCCCTGAGGAATGCAGAGTCTCAGGCCCCATCTCAGACCTGACAGAGCAGAGCCTTCATTTTAAAGAGCTCCTTCCCCACACCGGCACCCGAGGACCAGATGGGCCCGCTGGCCAGCTGGGGATGGGGAGGCTGTGGCCAGTCCTTCATCTCTGCTCGGAAGGACTTTGGCTGTGTCAGCATTGTTTCCTAGTAAGACAAACCAAATCGTACCCAGTTGCCTAGAACTGTCTGAGAGGAAGCGTTTCCCATGGGAGCAAGGCCACCCTCCCCCTGCAAACCCTTACCGACTACCAAGAGTTCTTGACAGCGTGCAGATGACCCACTCTCCCACACAGGTGTCTTTTGAAGCCGGCTCAGCTCCACTCACCCTCTGAAGCCTTGGAAGGAGAAACTGCCGGACTCTCGGTCCCCGCTTTTGTCGGGCTCTTCACCGGAGATGCAGGTGTGGACTTTACAGGTGAGCCAGGCTCTTCTGTGGCAGTGTCCTTCTCCCCTGAAAATAACAGGAACCCACCTTAGCATGGAAGTCACAGAGACAAGAGGGGCGGGTGAGCACATAGCCCAATGCTTTCTACTCAGTCACTTCTGGCTGGAGAGTTATTGGGCCCTCCCTGGTTCAGGGTTACCCCTGCTCCTTCCTAGGGAGGCTAACAGGGGGCAGCCAGAGTTATATTCCACCTTGTCTACCACACAGCTGCCCCTGGGAGGAAGTAAGGTGCCCGAAGAATGCCACGTGCCAGACCGGCACCTGGCTCTGCATGTGTTGCCGGGAAGGACCAGCCACAGGACACTTCCACAGATGGAAGCAGAGCCCCCAGCAACTGCCGGGCCTCCTTAGGAACACCCAGGGCTTTTTCACAGTGGCTAGCTTGCTAGTTAAGTCAGCTGATTCACACCTTCCTTCCAAACAATCCCTAGCACATTTTTCTATTTTTTTTTCCAACTGGCACATTCGAACTCCAAGCAAGGCAGGAAGCAGCGCTTGACAAGATGTCTAACCCCAGGTGAGAAGTGGTGGTGGAGCCCCCCACTCTGGGGGGTGTCTAAGTGGGTTTCAGGCCCCAGGTGCTCCTGAAGCTAGGAGGCGAGGCAGCTCCTTTGGGCAGAGTGGGGAGGTGAGGGGATGCCTTTCTAGCCAGGGAGGGATTTGAGGTAGAGCCTGTGGTGTAGATGACTCGGTTCAGACTAGCCCAGAAAGGAACGAAAGCATGACCCAGCAAGTCAAGACACCAGGAGTTTCAAGCCAGAGGGACTGGCTGGGCTGCAGATTCTGAAGCAAGGGGAGAGGCATCGGCTGAGAGAACCCTGGCTACCAGGCTGATAGACTCACTCCAGACTTGATGTGACTGTCAGATCTATCTCATTACAGCTAACAATTCTAGGTACTTTATAAGTCCTAACTCCGTCATATCCAGTGCAGCAGGGTCATGAAGTCACAAAGGTGCCTGCCCATGGAGCTGTGAGGTGGTGGGTCATGTTTGGCTATAGTCTGCTAATAGCGCTATCTGGTGATGGGTCAAGAGGAGTCTGAGCTCTCCCCTGCAGGCTGGCAGGTCCTGCAGCTCTGGCTCACACGGATTTACCTTCCTGTTCCTGTTCTAGTTTCTTCCTTTCCACCTCCTTCTTGTACTCCTCCAGCTCCTGGTCGGTGAGTTGGCTGAAGGGGTTGGGCACTGTCTCCTCGGATTCATCTTTGGTATCTGCGTCATCCTTGGACATCAGCTGGCTCTCTGTAGACTGAAAGTTAACCAGAGTGTGTGTTGCTCTCTGACCGCTGTGCTGGGGCCCAAGCTGGAGCTTCTCTCACACTCAGGTAGCAGTCAGCTGTCTTGCTAGGGAAGTGGCAGGTAGCTCCTTGGAACCAAGCTTGGGGTCTTGGGGTAGGGTTCATTCATTCTTCCCATTGCTATAGCCCCCTCACACTTTGTAACTGTCCTGGTGAATATAGGGGTCCACCCTTTGCTCTTGAAATGAAATCAAAAGATGCTCCCAAAGCAGAAGACACACCTTTATTGCAATCCCATCTATGGACACTTCCAAGCCACGACTGTGCATACATTTGGTTGCCCAGAGTCAGTCAGACAAAGTCTAGCAAGCAGAGCATTGGCCAGAGCAAGCAGCATGCCAGGCCCCTCCCCCACTGCCCCTCCCTGCCTCCCAACAGCAGTGCAAGCCACAGTACACAGCGTTAAAACAGCAAGACACAGGCGCTGTAGCATTCTCAGTCCAAGCAGTGAGTCCTGAAGTTAGAGTGACCAAGGAGCCAGATCCTTCATCGAGGATCTTCAGCTGCCTGTTCAGCAGGCCCTGTTCAGCAGGGGCACTGGCTGAACCTGTTTTGCACCTTGGTGGAGTCCCTGACTCAGATCTGACTAGCCGGGACACTTGTAAGCTCCAAGAATCATCTGGTCCCTCTTGCTCAAGGGGAGGACTGAACCACGGACCCTCTCCCTAAGTCAGTGTCCCACTGCAGCCCACCCAAAGGTGTTGCTTAATATCTGTGGAGGAAGAGCACAGAGTGAAGCCCCAGGGGAGGTGAGCCCAGAGCACCCAGGGTTTCTGGTCACAGCTCATGGGCTTCACTGCCAAGGGAGACAACCATAGGCTTATTGCAACCAGTTTCAGAGTCAACGGTGAGTTTAAGACAGACCCCAAGAACGGGGAAGCAGGCTAATGAGAGCTCTTGCTGAGAAGGCAGAGCTGCTTTTGAACACTCCTGCTCTGTGCTGACCTTTCACCCCTCTGGGATCACAGGCCGTTTCTATCCTTGCCCCTGTGGTGTGTTCAGAGTTGACTCCTTGGCTGAGTTGGGAGGGTAAGGAGGCAGGTGTGGATGCACGATCTGCTGCTGCCTGATCTGTAAGCACCGCACCATATCCACATGCTCTACAGAGAGTAACAGGCCCTGGCACTTCCCGCTTGTTACTGTCGAGGAAAGTGTCACACCTTTTGCAAGAGCCATGGACAGCCATGATGCCAACTGCACAAGGCAGAATTGCAATGCCACTCTGCTGCCAAGCCATAGACAAGATGCCATCCCATCTCAAACATAGAAAAAAGCGACTTCATGCTTTCTAACTCTACCTAGGTTTGTATGGACACTCCTTACCCTCCCCACCCCAGAGGCACAACCGTCCTGTCCACACCCCTCTCACTGTGTCCTGGAACTCAAGCCAGATGATGCCACAGAAACACATGGGCCACCAGAACTCAGAAGGATACTGAGAGAGGACCTCATGGAGTCCAATGGCGGGAGGTCTGGGGCTGGCCAGCAGCCTTCCCATGAGCAGATGGGCTATTGTTGCTCCCTATCCGGTGTACCCAGGAGAGAGTCAACATTGTCCTCCCTGACCTCACAGCCACCCGTGTGGTGGCCCTTCACTATGCAGCAAGAGCCCGGCACCTAAGATCATGGGGTGAGCGGGCCTGAGGACTCAGGGGTCCCACTGCCCAGCCTCGGGAGGCAGACACGCTTCCCCCTCGGTTGGGGGTGGCTTCTGCTGTACCGGGCTCCGGCTCTTCTCCGCGATGACGCTGGCCAAGAGCTGGGACTGAGGCCCTGCAGACTTTATGTCTTGTCGGTTTTGTTCTCGAATCTGTGTGGAAAGGGGAGAGGAAGGGGTCAGAGCATGGCGGGGCACTCTGGTATCTAGTGAGGCCTGGGATGGGTCTGACAAGGTCCTCTGTGGCCAGCAGCTGGTCCTCTCTGTTCTAACATGATCTGCCTTCCCTGAGAGCTTCTGCCATACCTGCCAGTCCCGAGCAACTCTGAGTTCATAAAAGGCCACGCTGTGGACATGTCTCTCAGACATACCTAATGTGTAAAGCAAGTGCCCTGCTACATAAATGGGTTACAGAAGACCACAGGACCTTGTAAGTCCAGCATGAGGCACGGAGCCCAGGATGTAGTCCATACATTTTGTAGTGTCATATCAGAGTTACTGGTGAGTTCCCCCAACCCAGGAACTTGGCCTGTGCTTCTGGGACCCCAGATTCCTTCAGAAAAGCAAGGCGGAGAGCAGACTCACCTTGTTCCTCATGTCCAGTACTTCTTGGGGGTCGGTGTAGAGAGGCACAAATTGGTTTGGGTTTTCGATCCGTATGGGCATGCCACTGCTGGACTTCTCCACCTCGTCAGCTTTCATCCACTGACAAGACAAGGCAGGTGAGTAAGGATGGAGTCCACAGGCTGGGAGGGGCGGGGGGTCAGGTACCACCATGGAAGGTCAGCAAGCCACTCAGACTTGTTCTCTCTTTGGGTCAGAGCCGAGATGAGTGATAGATGACCCAGATATCAAGGAAGGCCAGTGGGCCATAACGAACATCAGAGAGGAGAGGCTGAACCTTGGGCAGGCCACCCCTGGCCTTCAGTTCCAGGTAACTGGATTTGCATCTGGTAGAGACCTATTCTGACTGGCTGTGGCCACTTTTTTGTTAATGAAAACTCAAACACAGTGGGATTGGAGGGATTGCCCAGTGGTTAAAGCACCTGCCCTTCAAGCACAAGGGCCTGGATTTGGATGGGTGGAATGCCCCCCCCCCCATAACTCCAGCCGTGGAAGGCAGAGACAGGCGATTCCCAGAGCAAGTAAATGTAACCATAATATCCAGCTCTAGGCTTATCTTCAAAGAAAAGATAGAAGAGCTATTAAGGATGAGTCCAGACATCTACCTTGAGCCACATACATGTGCAATCATGTACATGCCAAAAAAAAAAAAAAAAAAAGCACATTTACCTGTGAAAAACAGAAAGGAAAAAAATCAAATAGCGGTCTGTGTGAGTGAGGGAAAAGGGAGAGGAAAGGTCACACATGCAGACCTGCCCTCCTCCTGGGTTTGTGCCAGACCCCAGGCCAGTGTTGGACACCCCTCCCAGGAGTTTCTCAAAGGCCCCATGGTTGTGGGTGAAACATAGACCCTAGTCTCTCTTGAATCTGTGCTGATGGAAGTAGTTCAGTTCTGTCGCCCTCTGGAAAAATCTGCCTCTCACACCTCAAACCTCAATACAGGGGTTCAAGAAAGAGGTGTTTGAGGCTCTGGGACCTGAGCACAGCCTACAGGAACCTGGAAGATTGCACAACTTATTCCCTTCCAATACAACCCATCCCACCCAGGCCGTCCTGACGCCCCCTCTCACCGTGGTCTTGGGCCGGGGACTGCCCATGTTCCTCTGCACCTCGTCGGCCACGTTCACCCGCAGGTAGGTGTTGGGCGTGTTAAGCCAGCGGGTCTTCTCCTTCTGCTGTTTCTGGGCATGCTGGCGCAGGGCAGGCACTGGGGCGCCGTCCTCTTCAAACACGAAGGCAGTGACTGTGGCCGGGATCTCCACTTCACTTTTGTGTTTGGTTTTCTCTTGGACAAAGGGGTGCCGGTAGGTGTAGCCTGTTCTGTAGCCCTGAGAGGACAGAACCAGAACCAGGTGTTGTGGGGGTGAGAGGGCCACACCTGGACTCAGTTCAACCCTAATTATCCACCAGACAACTGAGAAGCCAGGCTAAGGTCACAGGACTTTTAAATTGAGATGGGCCTGGCCACTCAGGCTCATCATCCCAGCTGATCAGGAAGCTGAGGCAGGAGCATGACAAGTTTAAGGCCTGCCTGGACTACAGAACCAACTCAAGGCCAGCTAGGTAACTTAGCGATCCTCTGCATGAATAAAAGGGCTGGGAGCCATAGCTCCGTGGCTTGACTCACGTGAAACCCTGAGTTTAATCTCCAGCACACAAAAAAAATAAAAAAGAATGAGTCCTGCTTAATGCTAATGATTTTGATGAATTTGTAAGCAGTATTGCTTTCTACAACAACAACAACGATAATAATAATAATAATAATAATAATAATAATAATAATTTTGCAGTGCTAGGGCCTAACATATTATGCCATACCAGACACTCATTCCATACCAAGCCATCCACTCAGTATCCAATGTTTTCAAAGTAGCTAACATGACGATAAAAATAACTTAGATTTAAAATTATAGATATATGTGTGTCCTTGTGTATATTTGTGTGTGCATGTGTTTGCAGGTCATAGAACTGGAAAGGGGATCATGAGTGAGGAGGAGGTACACAGAGTAATGCACGTATGTCACAGGGAAGCAGAGGTGGGGACCGAGGGAAGGAAGAGGAACTATTCGGGGGTGGGGGGGGGCAATGGGTGGGGACGGTAGTGAGGTGGGAGAAATGAGAACAAAGTGGAATGATGCGTAAGTATGACGACACCATGAGGAAACCCGTCACGTTGAATGCTAACCGTAAACATTCATTTTAAAATAATGTCCAAGTAGAGCTGGTTGAAGCTCCTTGCTCATTCACAGCACCTTTCCCCAACATTCCCTGGTGAAATCTATCTGACTGCGTTAGAACCCTCCTTTCTTTCTTTCTGAAACTTTAAATGGAATCTTCTGCTTCTCAAAGCTTTGGAAGGATTCCCGTAGGAAGCCACCCACAGCCCTGGTGCTTCGTTTAGGGGCAATGATTCAGCACACAGATGTTGCCAGGAGTAACCATCTCATCACCAAAGGCACGCTTCATCATTATAAAGCCTCCCTCGGGGTCAGCCTAGCAACAGGGTGAGAAATGACTTGGAGGGAATGGCAGGAGGAAGAGTATTAATTATTGCAATGACCTTGACATGATAAAGTCAAGTGACCTTGAGGGTGAGGAAGGTGAGCCGAACAGGAATGTCCTGAAATGGGCTTCATTCCTCACCTCTCTGAACAGTCCCAGCTCCCCACTGTACCCCTTCCTCTTGTGCCTGAAGTCTCTCCTCTGAATTTCTGTATTATCAACCCAGTCATTAGCTCCTAGAAGGATGCTGCCCGCTTGTACCCTTTAAGGAACCATCCCATTTGATTCTTTATGGGACTGTCTCTTTCATTCACTGCAACAAAACGTTGTAACGTTACTGCTTGGAATAAGGAAGCTAACTGTGTGATGGGCTTTCAGTAGCAACACTGTGACATTAGGGATGGAGCAGGGTCAACTCCAGAGGAGGCATGGGCTAATGGGTATTGATGATGGTGATGGTGATGGGCTGTGGATATGAGGAGAGGCACTCAGACTTGGCCGAACTGCTGCTTCCCATGGAGAACACAGACAGACATGAGGATGTCTCAGCACTTAGCAGAGGGAGGCAAGGCGAGCAATGGAGAAAACCATTGTTCAAGTGAACACAAACTCAAGGCCTTCACCCACTGAACCACGACAGAGGCAGTTCTTGCATGTCCCTCGTGTTCTGAGCTGCCGGGTTCTGTGGACTCAGCCTCCAGGGAGTGGTCTGAAGGACTACACCAGAACACTCACTAAGTTGTCCAGCATCCTCATGAGGGCTTCGAACTCATGCTCTCCCAGCCGGCTCTTCTGCATTGGCCCAAAGGTGCTGCCTGCCCACTGCACAGAGCCCACCTCATGCGGCCGGTGTTTCTCTTGCTCCAGGAGGATGAGGTTCTCAGTTCCTCCAGCGCTGGACAGAGCCGACACCTGCAGAGAGATCAGAGCACTTAGTCAGAGGTGTATGGAGTCCTTAAAATGGCTGTGGTGGGCCACAGAGGAGAATTCAGGATCCAGAAAGGCCTAGGGAACTTGAGGGAAATATCTGGACACTTGTTGGTCATTCACTCATTATCATGGAGCAAAGTATTAGAAATTCCTCTTTGGGCTTAGTTCTTAGAGAACCCACAGTGGGAGAAATAACAAGTGTTAAACCCCAGGAATGAAACGACACAGAGGACTGAACTGGTATATCTGGGATATAGCACACCCAGTACCAAAAATGGTTCCCAGGATATAGTACCCCAGAGAAGTAATCTGTATCTAGGACACAATGCCTCAGAAGAAGAAAGGCATGCCCAGGATGCACTGCAGAATTGTAATTATTTCTGGGGAAGATGATGCTGGAAAGGGCTTCAAGGGGGACTATTCATTGTTTTATAGACAAGGTCTCATGTAGTCCAGGCTGGCCTTGAACTTGCTATGTAGTCTAGGCTGGCCCTGAACACCTGTGTTTCCTGCCTCTACCTGCCAAGACCTGGGGTTAAAGGTGTCTGCTATCATGTCAGTCTGGATCTTCAATCATTGTCTGTAATATTTTTTCTTCAAGAGGAAAATGTCTAAAGCAAGCGGCCATAAGTACTTATTAAACATGAGTGACAGTGTCATTATCGTATTTTATTTGTTTTTCCGTGTATGTGTGTGTGTGTGTGTGTGTGTGTGTGTGTGTGTGTGTGTGTGTGTGTGTGTACTGGTCAGCTCTAAGTCAGTGATACAAGCCGGAGTCATTTGGGGAGAGGGATCCCAATTTTGAAAATGCCTCAGTTAGATTGGGCTTAGTCTGTGGAACATGTTCTTGATTAATGATTGATGTGGAGGGCTCAGCCCACTGTGGGCAGTGCTACCCTTAGGCGGGTGGTCCTGGGTGCGCTAAGAAAGCAGGCTTAGCCAGCCATGGGAAGCAAACCTCTCCATGACCTCTGCATCAGCTCCTGCCTCCAGGATCCTGGCTTGAGTTCCTTGATGATGCAGTGTGTGACCTGAGAGTTGTAAGATGAAATAAACTTTTTTCTTCCCAAGTTGCTCTTGGTCACAGTGTTTTATCACAGCAATAGAAAGTAAACCAAGACCATGTGAAACATAAGATCGATCTCTCTCTCCTCTCTCTCTCTCTCTCTCTCTCTCTCTCTCTCTCTCTCTCTCTCTCTCTCTCTCTGTCTCAAAACTTGAAAGAAATAAGAGGAGGGGACTCTTAGGCCAATGACCCTTATCAAGAATGCTCCTGGCCTAGAAAGAAGCCAGAAGAATTTTCTAGTCTTGTTATCCAAGATGTATGTACCCACGCTGGGGTGGTCAGTCCCCAGGTCCAGCGTCGGCATGGCACAGCCAAGTGTGCTGCAGTGTCAGACGCCTCCCCTACAGTCAGAGCTCCATGCGGGGGCAGTACAAGTGGCTTCGGGCAGCACACTTAACTATCAGGGCAGAGCTATGTGTACAGAGCAGGCAATTTAGAATAATCTTAAAAGCACGCATGCATTTGACCAGCCTCTGTCTTTCCCAGTCTCATGCTTAGCTAGTGGTACAGTCTACTGAGCCCTGCATCCCTGTCATCCAGATGTTCTTTGTTAGATCTGGCTTTCAGGGAGGGAGAGGGACACCTAAGCCCATGTCACTACAGCAGCGTGTTAACGTGCTCACATCCGAGAAGACTGTCCCCACACAAGCTCGCTCACTGGAGCTGCCACTCTGGTGACCTAACTTGCAGTGCCTGATGTTTCCGGACGGGTTGGGAGTCTGGGTTATGGTTTCGCTGGTGTTTGTTTTCACCAAAGATAAAAGGGTCCATTTAGTTTACTGACAAACGCATGCACATGAGCTCCAAGCATCCAGGCAGCACTTTGAGCACCTGGCGTTTCCCTGCACCAACAGATGACCTCACACTTCTTGGAGGTGAGCTCATCTCCCTGGGAGAGGAGGGTGACACTTTCCAGTGCCTTATTACTCAAGATATATGTCTGCATGTCTTTAACTGTCCCCACTGTCCCCTGCTGTCCTGGAGAGAAGGGAGAGCCTGGGTGTGTCACACATCACCTCACCGTGTGCCTTTGGGCAGCTACTTACCATATTTGTGCTTCCGCTCCCACCTCTGTCTAGTGAAAATGGCAATGCCCTAGCTACCTCATGAGGAATCTTGTAAGGTAATGTGGTAAGTATTTAGAATGTTCTGGAGCCTCAGGAGCACCACATGGATGCTGTTGCTAAGTTAACAGAGGATGAGAGGCGGCCTCCCCTGGGACTGGTTGTTAATGGAGGAGGGACGAGGGAGAGAGCACCCACAACCTTGCCCAAGCTGCCTCCTCCCATCTCTTCCTCCAGCAGTTTCCATGGCGATGGGTAGCAGATGGAGAAGAACTGCCTGTGCTTCCCATCTGCCTCTCCTCAGCAAGCAGGGAGCTGCCTCTCAGCGAGCAATGACCCACTTTTCCAGAACTCCAAACTGAATGGCAAAGAGAACATTGGGCCCAAGAGAGCTGAGCAGGCGCTTGGGCTTGGGCCACAGACATGTCCACAGCCATGTTCACCTGTCCACCAAGGTCACTGAGGGAGGAAGCAGGGCCCGTGGTGGACACAGAGCTGGCTGCCCGAGTGCAGTCCTGGCAGTAGCTGCAGGCCGTGGCTGCTGCACTCACTGGTGCCCCATCCTTTGCTTTTGCTCTCCCACGTCTTCTAGCCCATCCCTTCCTCTAGAAGCCTCTCCATCCTTGAAACTGACAAGAATCACTGGAGCTTCCTCGGTTGGTTGCCAGGGGGATGTGACTGGGCAAAAGCACATCAAGCCTGTCCTGGGCAGAAAGGGACAGCAGCTAGGAGGCTGTTAGGGACCAGAACTAACAGCTCTGCCCTATGGCCGCAGGTCAGAAGGTTAAACCGCCCAGGGGTCACTTGTGGGTCTGAACCTGGAGAGGCCTCTCCACTGTGGACCTGCAGGGGACGCAGCAGCAGCTCTCTCCAGCTGTGCAGAAGGCTGGGATATCTTTGCAGAGAAGAGCTTTTCCAGTGTGCGATGCTCTCACAGGAGCATCTGCAAAGGTGTGGTAAACCCTTTACAGTGCCGTGTGAGGAAAGACAGAGTCTGCCCTTGATAGTAGAGGTTCTGCCAGTTCTGATTTCCGTCAGTGGCCTAAGCATGAGGCAGCCATCTTAGTTGAGGGAGAAGGCACCACACCAGAGACATGACCTGGCTCCAGGGTTCCACAGTCTCTAAATCTGACCATCGCTGTTTCCTGGGATTCTCACTCCATTCCCTGTAACATTTATTCATCTCTGGATTTACAGGCACCTCTGCAACACTGCTCTAAAGCCCACTGTAAGGGCACCACAGGGCCCCGGCACCCCCGTGGTGCTGCACTGATCTCACCTTTCCCCAAGTGACACGGGGAAAGGCAGTGAGTGACCTTCCTTCGGTGCTGCTCTGCCGGGCCAGGCAGAATAAGGCAGAGAGCTGGCTTGTCCTGGAACTGTAGCCTCTGCATCTGTCAGCTAAGCAATGTCACCAGCTCTCCTGGCCTGGAGAGTCATTCCTCCCAGCAAACGTTGGCTCATGCCAACATGAAGAAAACAGGCTTCCAGAGGGCACATCTCTGCCCCAACAATACACAGCCAGGGCTGGAGATGATGGAGCTGAGAGAGCCAGGTCACGAGTCTATCCAGGGCTGGGCGTGCCCCACTCCCAACCCCTCCAAACTGTATGCCACAGAGTGCACACTCTTGTGTGCTGACCTGCACCACAGAGCTGCCGGGACCAGCATCCCTGCTGCTCTAGGGGCTCCGTGGTCATTGACACCTCCCACCTAGCTGTCCCTTTCCAGTGAGGAGACTGGGAGATGAGCTGGCTCCCTGCATACCTCTGGGGGTATCGTGGCTGTTCTGGTTGCTATGACAACACTGACTGGCTCTCTGTCCACTCCTCTTTCCATGCCTGACCACACTCCTGGCCCATGTACAGCCACCCATACTCCATTCCATCCCCTGGCAAAACAAGAGCAACGTTTTTCTGTGTTCCCCAGTACAACCTGGTGGAACAGCCACACTGGGTGACACAGGTGTGATAGGGCTTTTTTGTGTCTTGTGATGGTTTCCCCATCCTGGTCTCAGGGGCCCTAGATATGAGTAATACCGGTCAGATGGTGTGACGGACTTTTCCAGGACGTGGATCCCACTGTAAGCAGGAGACTGCAGGAGTGTAAGGACAGTGGTGACAGGCAGCTTCAGGGAGTTAGGCTCGCAGGACCCCAACTGACAGCTAGCAGGGACCCCAGTTCCTAGGGACCCCATCAAAGCCAGCTCCTGAGGTTACTTCCCAGAGCGCCTTACGTACCTGTACCTCACACGCAGCCTGTAGGTGGAAGACCTTATAGAAAGCCTCCTCCACGGTGTCACCCAGAGCGACCATGCCATGGTTTCTCAGCACCAGGATCTGTGGAGGAGGAAAGAGCCCATTAAGGTCAAGCCTTTGGAACTCCCCTTCTGGGCCAGCAAGATGGCTCAGTGGGGAAAGGCATTAGTCATCAAGTCTGAAAGCCTTGGTTCAATACCTGGGATCCACGTGGTGGAAGGAGAGAATAGACCCCTGCAGATTGTCCTCTGGATTTCACATGAGCTGTGGTGGCTTAAACTACCCCCACCCCAATACCCCATGCACACAAACTAAATGAATAAATAAAAATATATAATAAAAATCAACCTAAAAAAAATAAAAAGCTTCACTCCTAAGAGACGTTCATCTTACCAAGATCAATTCCTACCCAAGCTTGTAGCCCCTTCCCCAACTCCCTTCCTCTGTAATCAGGAACCCCACTGCTAATCTAAGTGCCATCTGAGTCCTGTGCCCCCCACTACAGGAAATAGAAAGGGCATTTGAATCTGATTCTGTGCAGCTCGAGTGACTTTCAGGGGCAAAGCTTCGGTTTGGGGCCTTAGAGAACTCAGACGTCTGAAAAGGCAGTGTGAGTGTTAAGTGAGCAAAATCATTTGATGCTCAGTATAGGACTCCGACCTCAAAAGCAACCTTCTGCCCTGTGACTTAGTCAGCTTTGGTCAAATCCAAGAGGATGATACTCGGAGAGGAGGCTCTGCAGGAACAGGCAGCCATAGGTCATCTCTCTGGACCTTGGGCTTTCGCTCCACGGACCTGGCTCCACTGTCTACAGTTCACTTCAAATCAGTTTTTCAAAAGAGAAGTTGGAGAAGCAGAAAGTTTCTTAGCTAACTGAGGAAGATTCTGGGCTAGAACCCGGGGTTCCCAGCCATGAAACAGTTCCTGATCTGGCAGGAGCAGTGAGTATGGGAGTGAAGAGACCAGAAACATGTTTAGATCAAGACTCCCCAAGGGTCAAGTTCTCCTTCCTTCTCTGAAAGAACTATTCATGGTTGGTTTTACCCTCAGCAGCTTGGAAGGCAGGCGAAGACCATGTGGGAGTTGAGACAGAGATCTATGCATTCAGTCCATCCCTGCAGAGGGCTGAACTCCAGGGCTCAGAGCATCTCATCCTCTCTTGCTAAGAGTGGCTGGAGTTCTTTCCTCTCAAATGCCAGAGACTTAGAAAGAGCTCAGGGCTCAAGTTCATAAACAGAAACACTAGGAACATCCTCTCTTAGATTGCCACAGCCCACACACTGCTGAGGAGACTCTGGGGCTGCTGGGGGAGAGTAGCAGGCTCCCCCTGCAAGGTAGAAATGGGGAGGCAGGGACTCAGGAGAATTAAAGTGGCTGCCCACTCAGACCCTGTTTCAAAGTCCCTTTCCAGTCCGAGACAGCACCTCAACTCTGTGCAAGCGGAAGGCCGTGGTTTCCACTTAAGCCAGGCAACAATACACTCCTGCTCTCCTCTATCCACTGGTAACTAATGAATGAATACAGTTAATATTAATGAACTAATATAGCACCCAGCTTTGGGGGGACTGTAGAGAAAGAGCCCATATATTAGACATAAGGAAGCAGGCAGAAGGGATAATCTTTGTGGGAAGCAATCGGGCAATATGAAGTCAGACTTATAAAGTATGTCCCTGGAAATGTCTAAGGGGAGCCTCCACAAACCCAGAGGATTAGCTGGAAGGGTTTCCTCCCAGGTGTTGTTTCTATTAAGAGGAACCTGGGGGGTGGGGTGGAAAGCATCCCCTGTAAGGTCCAACCACAGAGGACTGCTCAGGTAAGTTAAGCTATTCATACAATGAGGTCTGATTTAATAATCTGAGCGATGGAGGAAACAGACATAGAAAGGCATTTGGTGTGCGTTGCTAAGGGGGAGGGGAACTGATTTCCTGGCTGCAGTTTTGTAAGTCTGAGTAAACAGCCTTAGAGACCACACCAGCATCCCAGAGCAATGTGGGAGATGTGGTTTTAAAAAAAAAATTCTTTTCTTTCTAAAAAAAAAAAAAAAAATCATCTATAAAACTTGGAGGCTGGAGAGACAGCCCAGTGGTTAATAGTGCTTCCTGCTCTTGCAGAGGACCCAAGTTCAATTCTGAGCGCTTATATCAGGCTGCTCACAAACACCTGTAACTCCAGCTCCAGGGGATCTGACGCCCCCTTCTGGCCTCCACATGCATTGTACTCGAACAAATAAATCTTAAAAATTATCTACAAAACAAATATTCTCCAATGAGTACATGTTGCTTTGGGGATGCTAATGCTCTCCTCTCTGTCTCTCTGTCTCTCTGTCTCTCTGTCTCTCTGTCTCTCTGTCTCTCTCTCTCTCTCTCTCTCTCTCTCTCTGTGTGTGTGTGTGTGTGTGTGTGTATGTGTGTGTGTGTGTGTGTGTGAATATTGGGCATCTTCCTCAATTATTCTCCACCTGATTGTTTTGAGACACGGTGTTTCATTAAATGTGGAGCTCACCGAGTCAGTCAAATTGACTGGCCACACAAGCCCAGCGATCCACCTGCCAGCACTGGGGTTATAGGTACTTAACTGCCATACCCAGCTTTTTATGTAGGTGCCGGGGGTAGAACTCGGGTCCTTGTACAGAACACTCTTTACCCTCTGAGCCATCTCCCCAGTCTCATGACATCAGCCCTACCACTCCCCCACACCCTCCCAGAAACAAACCTTGCAGGTGGGTCCAAGGCACTTCTGCAAGTTGATTCGATCTGCTTCCTGCTCCATTTCCCCATTGAAGTCATAGTAGGCCATGTCCCCCACCAGCAGGGCATTATGGGAGACAGGCAGGAGGCCGCACTTCATAGCTGACACCTACAGGGAAACAATAGTTAGTTGCCTGGCGCCTGCAGCCCAGGCCCCAGGGTGCACTGGCCCTCTGTCCTCAGAGCACTGCAGGCCAGCTCTGCTCTGTGGCCAGGGAGCGTGGGATGGTCATAGGAGGAAGACTATGCTCCACCCAGGTCCACTTTCACAGTGAGGGCTCTAAGGGCTTCTGTCACGTGCGCATCACTCTCACAGCTCCGCGGACTTCTGGGCAAGCACACCAGAGGAGGCCCTGCTGCCCAGCCCCGGCTCTGTTCTCGTCTGTGACTCTGGGAGGAGGCAGGAGTCGTGGAAATGGTTCCCCCCATGGCATGGCCCTGGGGCAGTATGAATGCAAGGATCCAGGGCTAAAACCTGGGTTGGTTCCTGTGCTGGCTAGGTTTGTGTCAACTCGACACAAGCGGGAGCCGTTTTAGAAGAAGGAACATCAACTGAGAAAATTCTCCTACCAGACTGGCTTTTGGGCAAGCCTGTGGGCCATTTCTTGATGGATGATTGATGTAGGAGGGCCCAACTACTGTGGGCGGTGCCACCCCTGGGTTGGTGGCCCTGGACACTATAAAACAGGCTGGGCAACCATGTGGAGCAAGCCAGTAAGAAGAAATCCTCCATAGCCTCTGCACCAGTTCCTGCCTCCAGGTTCCTACTTTGGGTTCCTGCCTGACTTGCCTGTGTGATGGATCACACGTTGAAAGATGAAACAAACCCTCTCCGCCCTGTTGATTCCGGCCATGGTGGAATCATGCACCAGAAAAGCAAACAAATACAGTCTCCCGCTCCATCTCTCATTAAAAGCAAATAGCATGGTGAGGGGCAGAAGGGCCTGACTATCTTGCTCCACTGCCCCAAAGCAGCCAAGACTACAGACTTCGACATACATACACCACTGAGTCTTGGTCCTGATCTCCTGATCGTGGGAGGTCTATGCCCTGTGTTTCCCTTAGAAACCAACAGGCCGGTGCCATGTGTGCTGCCCTACAGGTATGTGGTCTGGTGTCAGCAGGAAAGGATGATGGCCAAGGCAATGCCCAGTGTCTGCCATTTCTCCCAGGGATGCTGCAGTGCCCTTTGTGCACATGGAGAGATGGCCTTGGCACTCCCTGTGATTGCTCCCTCTACTCTCGACTAGGTTTACTGGACCCTTCCCCAGATCTCAGCTGCCCTCAACTAAGAAAAAGTTTGCAGACTCAGTTCCCACCAGCTTATTGTCCTGTGTCAAGGTCTCTCCTCTGAAGAGAGGGGGTCATGTGGTCATGTGGGGACAGGCCAGCATGAAGCCCAACAACATTGCCTTGGGTAGACACTCACAGTGCAGGCGCCTGGCTGAGTTCCCAGCGGTGGCTACCGCAGAGTGGGAGTCTATGAAATGTGTGTTCCTCTCCTTCACCTCTCACCAAGCCCTTGGTAAGTGAAAGGAAGGCTGGAATAGAGTCCTACACTGAGAATTCACTCTCTTGGCCTGAGTTCCAGATCTTTCCAGAAACTTTATTTTTTAACATTATCTTATGTTTTATTTTGTGTGTATGAGTGTTTTGCCTTCATGTCTGTCTGCGCACCACATGCTTACAATGCCCACAAAGGCCAGAACAGAGGGTGTCAAATTCCGTGGGACTAGGGCTGCAGATGGTTATGAGTGGTCATGTGGGTGCTGAGAACAGAACCAAAGTCCTCTGGAAGAACGGACAGTGCTCTTAACCCCTGAGCCATCTCTCTGCCGCTTTGCAGAATTTTTAAATAATGACATTGCAATATCCCAGAGGCTATCTCCTCAGGGAGAAACCGGTGCTCTGGGCTGGCTGCCACAGGGAGTCTGGCACTGGGTGGAGCTCAGGGGACTGGGAGGCCTTCCTTACCGCAGCTGTGGCAGGGGTGTGCAGGTGGATGGCACACCGCACGTCAGGTCTGGCGGCATAGATGGCCGAGTGCAGACTGAAGCCTGTGGTGTCCACGGGGAAGCAGCTGCTGCCCTTCTCCACCACCTCTCCCAGAATGTTCACCTTGATCTAGGCAGTGAGGAAGAGAACAGACTCAGAGCAGCAGGCAGTGGGCTCCTGTCCTCTTCCACACGTGGACCCAGTGCGCCCCCTGCCCATGTCCACCCCTAGACAGGAGTAATGGCTGGCCTTGATGTTGGGGGACAGAAACATGGAGTCCTGCCTGCAGTGAGTCTTAAGGGGTGACAGGTGGTGATGATTCTGCAGGGAAAGAGGTGGGCAGTCCCTCGGACTTTATTATGCATTACTTCAGGAGCTGTCAAAATAGAATCGAGGACACAGCACGCTTAGCCTTTCCCCACATGATGTCTAGGCTATGGCCCACAAACCCACGCTGAGGAATGAGCTAGAGGACAGTCAGTGATAGAATCCTCTAGTAGCAGCTGAGGGGATTCTTAGATGCCAGCAGAAACCTTCCCAGAGGAAGTCACGTCTAGGCCGAGCTATCTCATTGTTGAAACATCTTAACACAAACAAAGGTAAAGAGGATGATATCCCGAACACCTTTCACCACTCACAGGAAAGGGAAGAATTTTAAGGGACCAGGAGAGGAGTCACTGTCTTAGCCTACTCTCTTCTCCATGAGACTAGCAGGAGGCTTGGCTAAAAAGCATTACACACAGTATGTGTGTGTGTGTGTAAAGGAGACATCAAGGGAGAATGGAGGAGGAGAGAGGTGGGGGGGTGAGTGAGAGAGGGAGTGAGTGAACAAGAGAGAAACAGAAAGACAGAGACATGCAGAGAACACACGGTGAGTGCTGGTGGGAGAAAGAGCACATACATGCGCGTGCACACACACACACACACACACACACACACACACACACACACACAGTGAATAATGCTTGTGGCTGGCTGTGGTGTTCCTACTTAACAAATGGATTCACAGAGCATCAACATCAGGGAAGGCTTTCTGTGACTGATCAGACAAGTGGCCTCCTGAGTAGACAGGGCAGGATGTTTCATCCTCCTGAGTAGACAGGGTAGGATGTTTCATCCTCCTGAGTAGACAGGGTAGGATGTTTCATCCTCCTGAGTAGACAGGGTAGGATGTTTCATCCTCCTGAGCAGACAGGGTAGGATGTTTCATCCTCCTGAGCAGACAGGGTAGGATGTTTCATCCTCCTGAGTAGACATGGTAGGATGTTTCATCCTCCTGAGTAGACAGGGTAAGATGTTTCATCCTCGAAGTGCCCCCGACCAACTCTCCCAGCACACTGCAAGGCCCATTCCTCAAAGACCCAAATCGCCCAACACAAACCCAAGCTCTGAGGCAAGGTCTTCCTAACACAGTGGTTCTCAACTTTCCTAATGCTGCACCCTTTAATAAAGTTCCTCATGTTGTGGTGACCCCCAATCATAAAATTATTTAGTTGCTACTTTATAATTGTAATTTTGCTTCTCTTATGAGTTGTAATGTAAATATCTGATATGCAGGATATCTGATATGTGACCCCAAAGGGGTCGTGACCCACAGGTTGAGAACTGCTGACTTAACACTTTAATGGGCATACAGTCTAGTCCCCAGGCACTCTGCAGCCCTGGGCTCATTTGACTACAGTTATACCTTTCACACTAACAAGCTAGATTTTAGCTTCTTTAAAAAAAAAATCACCATGCAGTGGTGACCCACACCTTTAATCCCAGCACTCAGAAGGCAGAGGCAGGTGGGTCTCTGTGAGTTCTAGGCCAGCCTAGTCTTCAGCAATAGTTCCAGGACATCTAGGGCTATGCAAACCTTGTCTTGAAAAACCAAAAAGAAAAAGAAAAAAAAAAAAAAAAGAAATGAAAATCACTGTCACTTTGGCCCTCAAAACAGAAGCACCTATAACGTCCCAAGTTTAGCACACAAATGGCCCCTCACTCCATCCCCAAAAACCCACAGACAAAAGGGGGACCGAAGGACAGTGCCACCTTGGTGTGGGGATGGGCACACTATTGGCACTATGTGCTTAGCTGCATAGGACCGGCATCCAACAGACCCCTGCTGCAAACCTCTCCATGGAGTGAGTTTTACAAAACGAACCTGGCTTTGGAGTGGCCTGACGCTGGCTGGGTATGACGGCAGCTCCCCCAGCTCCTGCTCCTGCTTAAAACAAGGGCTTGTGCTCGCCTGACTCCCCAGTTCCTCAAGGCGGCCCAGTCAGACTCCCCACTCTGGGAAGGCCCCTCTCTGGCTCATGTATATCTTATCTCATTGTTGGACCTGTGACTTGCATCACTCAGGAATCTCCACAACCTAATAGGGTAGCGAGCAGTCCTCCAGCGCCTCTGTCTAGATGAGAAAGCCGGAAGTCTGAGGACTGCCTGGGAGGCACAGGCTTGGCTTGGACCCTGCTGCTGAGCAAACTTGTAAAAGAAGCCAACTGTTATTCGGGAGTGAGGCTCTCTTTCTTATCAACCGCATTCCCCTGTGGAGGGTATGAGCTGCACATCCACACAGTCGCCCATGGTCTATCCATACCCCAGGCCACCTCAGCCCATTGGGACCCCCACGAGTCTGTCTACACCCCAGAACACCTTCTGCTTGTGATCCCCTTCAAGTCTGCATCTTGTGGTCAGACCCCTTCTGAACCTACCGCAGCCAAATGCCAACTGCCTCTGCCTCAGGGATACTGCTCCCCGACCCCCAGCTCCTCATCCTCCAACCAGCTTCCAGCCCAGCTGATTACAGGCCCACTAAGCATGCAAGCCCAGAATTTCTTTCACAGATCACAGACAGAGAACCGAGCATTTGTCCTGACATCTGCTGGTCTCCAGCCACACCTCTCAGGGCAATCCGAGAAAAAGGACACAGACTGTCTTGCCTCCACCTCCAGAGTCCAAATGCTGATCCAGACTTGAAGTCTCCTGTTCTCCTGCTCCCAAGTGTTCCCATCCAAGGAAGCTTTCCTCATGGCATGTGGTCTAACCTCAAAGCAGGAATCTACCCAGGACTCCAGGTCACCTCCCATCCCCTCCCCTGTTCCACTGCATTTACTGTCTGCACCCTGATCACATCATGCCCGAGGCACCCCCTGTGTTTGCTGTCTCCTCCCTGATCACATCATGCCCGAGGTACCCCCTGTGTCCATGCACCGTCTCTGCCCAGGGAGAGTGTGAGTTCCACAAAGAACAGGACAGTAGGCTCTGACTGGAGATGAACCTGTTCCTCCAGGGTCCATGGGTACTATCACCTTAGTAAGTAAGTGTCAGCCCTGAGATGCAGGCCTATACTTACCAGGCTAGATGCCGTGACCTCACTGCAGGAAACCCCCTTGGGGCTGATCAGGAAGTGGTCCTGCTCCTTGCTCACTCTCATCTGGGAAGACAGATAGGAAACTCAGGACCAAGCAGAGAGAAGGAGGAGACACTCTTTAAATCCCTGTCTCCCTGAACTCACTGCACCAGAACTTTCTCCAGTGAACCCTCCTCCACTGAGAGACAAAGAGGTTTGGTCTTTATCTGAGCTGTGGAAATGGAGCTTCCAGAGAAATCTCACAAAAATTAGGAACAGCCCTGGATACAGGAATCCAAAGGGGTACCCACTGGGCAGGTACTTTATTCTGTTCATCATAGTGGTTAGCAATCTTGGAAAAGGTGAGAGGATTTTAACCAAGGGCCACTAACAGTGTCTGGCCACGCTGAGGGTCAGGAGTCTTCCTCTCGGGTTTTGTGGAGATAGGGGTTTGGGAACCAGGGGCTGGGCACAGGGCGCCTGCTCCTCACCGTGACATAGGTGTCGCTGAGCTGTGCCCAGCCATAGAGGTCCAGGAGGCGGTAGACACTGCTGATCTTGCACCGCATAAGCCTCTCCCCCTTGGCCAGGTTCAGGGAGTCAGCAGTGTGGAGGTCATTGATGGGCGTCATCATGGAGAAGTCTGCAGGGATGGGAGGGGACAGCACATCTCCCTGAGGACAGGAGTCCCTACCAGCCAGTTGCCCCATGCCCCTCTAGATCCCACTGACTGATGCCACCACTGTGCACAAAACACTCCCTGCCAGAGGATCAACCAGCCCTCAGCTCACACCTAGAGGAAGAAAGACTGTAGTGTCCATGTGTGGCTTACAAAGCCCTCAGCTCAGCCGAGTGAAACTGCTGTTGCTTTTGGAGGAGAGCCGGGCCAAGAGCTGGGGATATAACTCGGGTGGTACAGCACTTGCTTGGTAGGCACACATCTCTAGGTTTGATCCCTAGCACTACGTAAAATATGGTGATACATATCTGTAATCTCTGCATTTACTTAGAAGGTGGAGGCAGAAGTTCCAGATTGTCCTGGGCTACAGAGCAAGTTTAAGATCAGCTTGGAGCCGGGCAGTGGTGGCGCACGCCTTTAATCCCAGTA